GGAAAACCAAAAGTTTCTCCTTTTATATTTAGTAATATATACAGGGGACGGGGTTATTGGCCCCTTGCTCCGGGCATTTTAGTCACTTCTTACGACATGCATGGCTTGAAGATTGAGACACTTATGCAACATATGAGAATCTTTATTCAGGAAACGTTTTGCCACACAGTGGCTTCATCAGTCCAATACAAAGCAGAAGGTGCAAGGAGAGGAGGAGTTTGAGGTAATCAGTCCCTCAGCCTGGAGTCAATGTGTTCAGTCCATCAATCTTGTAGAATGTTTACCTGGAGTTTACCTGGAGAGAGTTCCGGGGGTCAACGCCCCCGCGGCCCGGTCTGTGACCAGGGCCATAGACATGGCTTATATAATGCATGGCTTACAGAGGAAGAATTCTGTTCCATTTCCCCATGGAGATAAGAGCAAATAAGAACAAGAACTAATAAGAAAATGGAAGAAAACCCAGAGAGGTGTGTATATATATGCTTGTACGTACATGCATGTGTAGTATGACAAAAGTGTAAGTAGAAGTGACAAGACATACCTGAAATCTTGCATGTTTATGAGACAGAAAAAAGACGCCAGCAATCCTACCATCATGTAAAACAATTACAGGCTTCCGTTTAACACTCACTTGGCAGGACGGTAGTACCTCCCTGGGCAGTTGCTGTCTACCAACCTACTACCTAGGACTAGTGCTAATTTTTTTTTTAACACATCGTTCGTCTCCCACCGTGGTAGGGTGACCCAAAAAAAAGAAGATCCCAAAAAGAAAATATTTTCATCATTCAACACTTTCACCTCACTCATACATAATCAATGTCTTTGCAGAGGCCCTCAGATACAACAGTTTAAAAGTCAGCCTCCAAACTGCCAATATCCCAAACCTCTCCTTTAACCCTTTGACTGTTTTGGTCATATATATACGTCTTAGGAGCCACCGTTTTTGACGTATATATACAGTGGACCCTCAACCAACGATATTAATCCATTCCTGAGAGCTCATCGTTAGTCAGAATTATCGTTAGTCAAGTTAATTTTCCCCATAAGAAATAATGGAAATCAAATTAATCCGTGCAAGACACCCAAAAGTATTGAAAAAAAAATTTTTACCACATGAAATATTAATTTTAATACACACAAACTGAAGATTACATGCACAGTTACATGACACTTACCTTTATTGAAGATCTGGTGATGATTGATGGGATGGGAGGAGGGGAGAGCATTGATCTTCTTAGTGTTTAGAAGAGGAGTGGTATTAGGAGGCAAAAACCTTACCTTAATGAAGCTCATGTCCCTAGAAAGTCGCTCTGCCAAGTCTGAAGGATGGCCAGGAGCATTGTCTAATACCAGGAGGCACTTAAGGTCTAATTTCTTTTCAAATAGGCAATTTTTCACATTGGGGGCAAATGCATGGCATAACCAGTCATAGAAAAAGTCCCTAGTGACCCATGCCTTACTGTTTGCCCTCCACAGCACACACAAATTAGCCTTGACGACACTGTTTTTCCTGAACACTCTGGGAGTTTCAGAGTGAAACACCAATAAAGGCTTCACTTTGCAATCACCACTAGCACTGGCACACATCAACAGAGTAAGCCTGTCTTTCATAGGCTTATGTCCTGGGAGTGCCTTTTCCTCCTGAGTAATGTACGTCCTGCTTGGCATTTTCTTCCAAAACAGGCCTGTTTCATCAAAATTAAACACTTGTTCAGGTTTCAGTCCTTCACTGTCTATGTACTCCTTGAAGTCCTGCACATATTTTTCAGCTGCTCTGTGGTCCGAACTGGCAGCATCACCATGCCTTATCACACTATGAATGCCACTACGCTTCTTAAATCTCTCAAACCAACCTTTGCTGGCCTTAAATTCACTCACATCACTAGTTGCTGGCATCTTTTTAATTAAATCGTCATGCAACTTTCTAGCCTTTTCACAAATGATCGCTTGAGAGATGCTGTCTCCTGCTAAGTAAGTAAGTAAGTTTATTCAGGTATACACAAATACAGTTACATAGAATTATCATACATAGCAGCATATGTGCAGAAAACCTAGGATAACCCAAAAAAGTCAGACAGAGTGACTTATCTGTTTCTCGTTTATCCACACCAATAACAGTCTCTCAACATCTTCTATCACTTGCGATCTCAGTTTCGAAAACATAGTTGCACCTTTGGCAAGAACAGCTTCCTTGATTGCCGTTTTCTTGCCCACAATAATAGCGATGGTTGATTGGGGTTTTGTGTACAGCCTGGCCAGCTCGGAGACATGCACTCCACTTTCAAACTTAGCAATGATCTCTTTCTTCATATCCATAGTAATTCTCACCCTTTTTGCTGTAGGGTTGGCACTAGAAGCTTTCTTGGGGCCCATGGTGACTTATTTTGCAGGTGCAATCACTAAAAAGGCTGTGATAATATGAAATGTTCCGATTGTATGCTTGGAAGCGACCGCGGTGGCTGGCTGGCTTGTAAACACTGGCCAGAAGTGGACGCATCTCAGACGGAACGAATAGTGTTGGTTGAGTTTTTTAGCGCTAATCGAGGCAAAATTTTTGCGATAAAATGTATCGCTAGTCAGATTTATCGTTAATCGATGCCATCGCTGGTCGAGGGTCCACTGTACTCATAAATTCTAGCAGCTTCAAATCAAGCAGGAGAAAGCTGGTAGGCCCACATGTGAGAGAATGAGTCTGTGTGGTCAGTGTGCACCATATAAAAAAAATCCTGCAGCACACAGTGCAAAATGAGAAAAAAAAAACTCCGACCGATTTTTTAATTAAAATGCCGAATTTGTGGTCTATTTTCGTATAGTATTTATGGTTGTATTCTCGTTTTCTTGGTCTCATTTGATAGAATGGAAAACATATTATAGAAATAGAGGTGATTTTGACTGGTTTTACTATGTAAAGAACCTTGACATGGAGCTCAATATAGAGGAAATGTTTGATTTTTACCGATGTTCAAAAATAAACAAATGATGTCATTTTCCAATAAATGTTCAAGTAGCCATTCTAATATGCAGTCATGAATGGGTTGACATTATTTATACAATATTACAATATTGTAGTAGTCTGCATAACAGTAAATCTTCTATTTTTTGTTTATTCAAAAATTCAAAATAGAAAGCAAGAGTAATATCAGTGAGGCCTGGAGACATGACTGATGAACAAAGAAAATGTTATTTTAGAGCCAGGTATGTCTGCACTGTTCATTCTGGACCCTATTTTGAAATTGTTATATTTTTTAATTTTTGTGAAATTGGCCAAATTGCAAATTTCTGACCATGTTATTGGGTAGTTGAAATCGGTAAATGGGGAGTTTCTTGTACTCAATCGATAGAAAAAATGGAGTTCTAAAGAAATAGCTATAAGTTTGGTCAACTGGAACATTGTAATTAGCTGAAAATATGGCTCAAAATGGGCGAAATCGCCAATTCATAAATATCGCCGAGGTCGCTAACTTCGTGAGAGTGTAATTCCATCAGTTTTCCATCAAATTTTATTCTTTTGGTGTCATTACAATTGGGAAAAGATTCTCTATCATTTCATAAGAAAAAATAATTTTTTTTCGGAAATTTTGCGACACCATTAGACACCTCAGAATTTGGGGTTGTGACAGTCAAGGGGTTAAAGTGCAGGCATTGTACTTCCCATTTCCAGGACTCAAGTCCAGCTAACAGGTTTCCCTGAATCCCTTCACAAAATATTACCATGCTCACACTCCAACAGCTTGTCAGGTACCAAATACCATTTGTCTCCATTCACTCCTATCGAACACGCTCATGCACGCCTGCTGCAAGTCCAAGCCCCTCACCTACAAAACTTCCTTTTCGAGGACAACCCCTACCCCGCCTTCCTTCCCCTACAGATTTATACGCTCTCCAAGTCATTCTACTTTGATCCATTCTCTCTAAATGACCAATCCACCTCAACAACCCCTCTTTAGCCCTCTGACTAATACTTTTAGTAAATCCACACCTCCTCCTAATTTCTACACTCCAAATTCTCTGTATAAAATTTACACCACACACTGCCCTTAGACAGGACATCTCCACTGCCTCCAACCATCTCCTCGCTACAGCATTTGCAACCCAAACTTCACACCCATATAAGAGTGTTGGTACTACTATACTTTCATACATTCCCTTCTTTGCCTCCATGGATAACATTTTTTTGTCTCCACAGATACCTCAACACACCACTCACCTTCTTTCCTTCATCAATTCTATGGTTAGCCTCACCCTTCATAAACCCATCTGCTGATATGTCAACTCCCAAATATCTGAAAACATTCACTTCTTCCATACTCCTCCTCTCCAATTTGATACCTAATTTTTCTTTATCTAAATCATTTGATACCCTCATCACCTTACTCTTATCAATGTTCACTTTCAACTTTCTACCTTTATGCACTCTCCCAAACTCGTCCACCAACCTTAGCAATTTTTCTTTAGAATCTCCCATAAGCACAGTATCATCAGCAAAAAGTAACTGTGTCAACTCCCATTTTGTATTTGATTCCCCATAATTTAATCCCACCCCTCTCCCCAACACCCTAGCATTTACCTCTTTCACAACTCCATCTATAAATATATTTAACAACCATGGTGACATTACACATCCCTGTTTAAGACCTACTTTTACTGGGAAGTAATCTCCCTCTCTTCTACACACCCTAACCCGAGCCTCACTATTCTCATAAAAACTCTTTACAGCATTTAGTAACTTACTACCTATTCCATATACCTGCAACATCTGCCACATTGCTAAATATATCAATTAAATAAACATCGCAAAGCCATAAGACTCTGATGATGAAAATAGTGCCAAGTAATTACATACCCAGAATTTCAGCTTAGTGTGCTTGAAACATAAAATGACCATCAATGGCAACAATAAAATTATTGCACATGAATAGCCTGCAACAAGTATATAAAAATCTAGTGATAAAGATATATGGTAGCTGTGAATTTACAATTACAAGAAAGCAAGAATTTACCAGAATAACGTCGAATATGAGATGTTGGGACGGATGGGTACGGCCAGGAAAAGTCTCTATGTATTTGCTTTAATGATGCTACAAAATCATCAACACGAGCAGCTCTACTCCGTTCTCTTCTTAGCCATGACACTAATGGAAAATCCAAATGTGCTGCCATTGTTCCTAGATCTCGCAGACGACACCCAAGTAACAGTTTCTGTGGATAATCATAAAAGAATGCATTTTATGTATTTGAAAATACAGTGGCACCTTGACTTATTAGTTTAACTCATTCCGTGACCGAGCTCGTAACTCAATTTGCTCATATATCAAATCAATTTTCCTCTTTGAAATTAATTGAAATGCCATTAATCCGTTCCAGCCCCCAAAAAACCACCCCAATTTTTTTGCCATAAACTCTATCACTTAATCGCTTAACTTATTTGCTACACTCTTCACTACTCCACCCACCACCTTCACTACTCCACCCACCACTATCACTGCTCCACCCACCATTATCACTACTCCACCCACTACTATCACTACTCCACCCACTACTATCACTACACCACCCACCACCATCACTACTCCACCAACCATTATCACTACTCCACCCAACACCCTCACTACTCCATTCACCACCCTCACTACTCCACCTGCCATCATCTCTACCCCCCACCATTATCACTACTCCATCCACCACCCTCACTACTCCACCCACCACCTTCACTATTCCACCCACCATCTCTACTACACCCACCACCATCACTAGTCCACCCACCACTATCACTACTCCATCCACCACCATCACTACTCCACTCACCACCATCACTACTCCCCCACCACTATCAGTACTCCACCCACTGAAGGAACCTCTGTGAGGCAGGTAAATATCAAGAAGGCCTTCGTTAATGTTTCTGGAAAAACTCGAGTGTTGAAATGGAGGTTACCTCTTCCTTGGATTTATACGAGAGCCAAACAAAGGACAAGGTGCCTCACTACAATCTGGGGTTAGTGTGGGAGTATTATCTTTCCAGTTATGTCTTGGAAGTGCATGTGGGATGGGACAAAGTACCTGACATTCCTCTGGATACAGAGTTGGATATGACTTCAGATATGCTGCCAACTAGTGGTGGCGTATCTGAAGCTCGCTTGTAATTCGGATTTTGGCTCGCAACTCAAAGCAAAAAATCGACCAAGTGATGGCTTGTAACTCGGAAAACTCGCAAGTTGGGGCACTCTTAAGTCAAGGTACCGCTCTATTTAAAAATACAGGTGCCTATCAGTTAACACAGCAGTCACATTCCTGAAAAAGAGCATGTAATTAAAAAAATCATGTAAATTGAACTAAAGAACATATGAGAAAATCGAAGTTACATCCACTGGCCCTCAAAAAAACAATCAAATATTTTTTAGGCTTGAAATTGTAGAAGACAATAATAATAATATAACTGAAGGTCAGGAGAGAGCTGTGTTATAGTTAATACAATATCTAAAAAATCTGGTTGCTGGTGTATGTCAATGATTTTAAAAGGAGTGGAGAGGGATGACATATGCCTGCTGAGGTGACGTGGAAGGTTGTGGATCATTGGCTGAGGCTCATGCATTAATGATGATGATGACAGTACTGGAGTACTGAGGAATTCTGTAATGCATCTGCAGTCTGTTTTACCTAGCAGTACTTTATACAGCTGATGGTAAGGCATCATCAGTTGCTCCAGACCTTTCAGAACAGTACTTTTAGATTTGTCTAGGGACCTCTTCAGTGAAAAAGTCTGTTAGTTTAGCAGCAATATGGAACTGCTCACATGTGTTGCAATGTTAACTGTTTTTCTTCAGGTTCTTCATCCTCATCATCATCTAACAGTTCATTCACATGCATATCTTCAATTGTTCACCTGGCAATCTCCTTGCCAGCTGAACAATTTCCTGGACCTAGCAATCTTCTTGTCAGGTGAACAATTTCTTGGACCTGGCAATCTCCTTGCCAGCTGAACAATTTCCTGGATCTGACAATCTTCTTGCCAGCTGAACAGTTTCATGGACCTGTCAATCTTCTTGCCTGCTAAACAATTTCCTGGACCTGACAATCTTCTTGCCAGCGGACCAATTTCCTGGACCTGGCTCTCAACTGACGGAAAACCTAAGGAAGTATTTATCACGCTAGATAATTTTCCCCAGCCTGCATTTAATGTTGATTGGGGAACTTCACTCCATGCACTCTTGATGTAGCTGACGGCACCAGCAATGTTAAATTTATGCCAAAAATCTGGCAGCCAATGCTACAAGTTTCACTTAATCCTAATAATTCCATGATCCGGTGGTTATATTAGAGGTGTACTTGGTGGTAAAACACTTTTACAGGTGGATGCACGTCCATTAACCCTTTGACTGTTGCAAGCCCTTTTCTGAAACTGTCATTCTATGTCGCAAAATATTTGAAAAAAAAAAAAAAAATAATTATTTTTTTCTGATGAAATGACAGAGAAACTTTTCCCAATGCTAATGACACCAAAAGTACAAAATTTGATCAAAAACTTATGGAATTACACTCCCGCAAAGTTAGCGATCTCAGCAATATACACGTATACACATCGGCAATTTCGTCGAATCTGAGCCCTATTTTCGGCCAATTCCACTGTTCTAGTCGACCAAACTCATAGCAATTTCTTTAGAACTCCATTTTTTCTATCAACTGAGTACAAGAAACTGCCCATTTACCAATTTTAACTACCCAATAAAGTGGTCAAAAATTGGCAATTTTATGCAAATTAAAAAAAATGCCAATTTCAAAATAGGGTCCAGAATAAACAATGAAGACATTCTTGGCACTAAAATAACATATCCTCTGTTCATTAGTCACATCTCCTGGCCCCTCTTATATTACTCTTGCTTTCTATTTTGATTTTTTATTCACACAAAAAATTGAAGATTTATTAACAAAAAAAGGCACAATACCGTGATGGGAACGATACACAAATAACCCGCACATAGAAGAGAGGAGCTTACGACGACGTTTCGGCCCGACTCGAACCATTTACAAAGTCACACTAATGAAAAGGAGAGCAGGATGGGTATATATACGCAGGAGGTGGGTTGTCTTTCTTCTGCCCTGTGTATTTGCTCCTTTTTTATTTATTTATTCCCCCCCCCTCGGTGTTCTTGTCCTTTACCCTCTGTGGGCACCTAGCTCCCTTGCAGTGCTCCTCTTTCTAAGTATTTGACTGGCTCCTCCTCCTCCTCTTACTACCTCCCCACTACTACTTCCTTCCACCTCCACTACTAACACTACTACTGCTACTACTACCACCTCCTGCCTATATATACCCATCCTGCTCTCCTTTTCGTTAGTGTGACTTTGTAAATGGTCCAAGTTGGATGTAAACGTTGTTGTAAGCTCCTCTCTTCTATGTGCGGGTTATTTGTGTAGAAGATTTACTGTTATGCAGACTACTGCATTATTGTAAAAATAGTATAAATAATATCAGTGCACTAGTAAAAGAATATTAGACTCCCCAGTTGACATGCATTGGACGTGTGGTGCGATTTCTTTACTCTTGAACATTTCTGCCACTTTGAGCTCAATTTCAAGGTCATTTTTGTCGTGAAACTCATCAAAATAACCACTATTTCTGTAATATGTTTTCCATTCTATCAAATGAGACCATGAAAATGAGAATACAACCGTAACTACTACACAAAAATACACCTCAAAGTCAGCATTTTAATCCAAAAACACAGTCAAAGTTTTTTTCTCATTATGCACCACGTGCTGCAGGACTTTTTTTATGCAGTGCACACTGACCACACAGACCCATTCTCTCACATGTGGGCCTACCAGCTTTCTCCTGCTTGATTTGAAGCCACTAGAATTATTGAGTATATATATGTCTGAACCACTGGCTCGTAAGACGTATACAGTGGACCCCCGCATAGCGACCTTAATCCGTGCAAGAGGGCTGGCTGTTATGCGAAATGTTCGGTATGCGAATGAATTTTCCCCATAAGAAATAATGGAAATCAAATTAATCCGTGCAAGACACCCAAAAGTATGAAAAAAAAAATTTTACCACATGAAATATACATTTTCCTACACACAAAGAGAAGGATACATGCACAATAGTAGAGTAGTACATGCACAATATATATTGTGCATGTACTACTCTACTAAATGAAGAATAAATGACACTTACCTTTATTGAAGATGCAGCAATGACTGATGAGACACTATGTCCTGGGAGTGCCTTTTCCTCCTGAGTACTGTAGTCCTGTTTGGTATTTTCTTCCAGAACAGGCCTTATCACACTGTGTATGCCACTACGATTCTTAAATCTCTCAAACCAACCTTTGCTGGCTCTAAATTCACCAATATGAGCACTAGTTCCAGGCATTTTCCCTGTTCACCTGGGTGTTAGTCGACTGGTGTGGGTTGCATCCTGGGAGACAAGATTAAGGACCCCAATGGAAATAAGTTAGACAGTCTTCGATGACACTGACTTTTTTGGGTTATCCTGGGTGGCAAATCCTCTGGGGTTAATTGTTTCTTGGTATTCTCAATAAGCCACACCAACAACGGTGGTACAGCAGCAGCAGCAGCTGACGGTGGTACAGCAGCAACAGACGATGCTACAGCAGCAACAGACGATGCTACAGCAACTGACGATGTTACAGCAGCAGCAGACGATGCTACAGCAGCAGCAGCAGCTGACGGTGGTACAGCAGCAACAGACGATGCTACAGCAGCAACTGACGATGTTACAGCAGCAGCAGACGATGCTGCAGCAGCAGCAGCAGCAGACGATGCTACAGCAGCAGCAGCAGCTGACGGTGGTACAGCAGCAACAGACGATGCTACAGCAGCAACAGACGATGCTACAGCAGCAGCAGACGATGCTACAGCAGCAGCAGCAGCTGACGGTGGTACAGCAGCAACAGACGATGCTACAGCAGCAACAGACGATGCTACAGCAGCAGCAGACGATGCTACAGCAGCAACTGACGATGTTACAGCAGCAGCAGACGATGCTACAGCAGCAGCAGCAGCAGACGATGCTACAGCAGCAGCAGCAGCTGACAGTGGTACAGCAGCAACAGATGATGCTACAGCAGCAGCAGACAATGCTACAGCAGCAGCAGACGATGCTACAGCAGCAGCAGACGATGCTACAGCAGCAGCAGACGGAACTACAGCAGCAGCAGCAGCAGCAGCAGCTGACA